GCCACATTCCTGTCGGCTAATCTTTGCTGTTATTGTATTGTGTATTGTATTTTTTGATTTACCACATTTAGACGCCAAACTTTCGGTTCTTGATCTACAATGGAGATGTAGACACAGCTTGTAATTACCTCGGAGATTCGTGGTTCATAAGGGATGTCGCAAAGGAAAACAATTTAATGGTGAGTTTTGAAAGGTAGCTTCCGAAGAAGGACATACTCATGAGGTGTCACCTGAGAGAATACTTCCAGCCGGGAGACCGAATCCCTTGGTTCTTCAGCGAAAACAACCAACTGGCTGGTTTCGCACAACGCTACTCAGGTCAAGGAGGCCAAGGAATCGGCATATCCATCGATGTCCTAACTGTCAAGGTCCCTTCTATTTCTGACTCAAACCCATATTTTGCTCTTTATAGAAAATCCTGCCTGTCTATAAATTCAGGGTGCTGGACATATGGTACCAAACGACAGACCTGGCCCATCAGTACAAATGATCACGAACTTCATGTTTCCCGGTTCAACCGGAGTCAACTACACTTCCAAGGCTCACACAAATCCACAGCCCGACGTGAGAACACATAGCATTTCCGAAAGTTTATCGTTACTAATTTCGTCCCTTACAGGTATCTCCAATGAAAGCAGCATCTGCTTTGACCCTGCTTTCTGTGATTATGTCTTTAGTTGTCACCAATCAATAACAAAAAAGACACATAGTGTACATATAAGTATATAATAAAGCTTTTCGAAGTCCACTAAGCAATGACATTCACATTCTTGCCTTTTTGTACAATATTTCAACAACAATAACTGCAATATAATCAACATCAGAAGAAACGAAGATTACTGATATTTTGCCTGGCGAACGTTGAAGTCGGTATAGCACGATGAAGAACCGTCCCTCTACTGCTAACTAGCAGCAGTTGCAGAAGGAGATGGCGGTATGGAAGCCGAAGAGATCTTCCGTTGTCTCGCCAAACGTCGTTCTGAAGATGAAAATAGTGGTTTCTGGAAGTGTGGAAACATGGAAACTATGGTACCAGCAATAATCTCTATATACTAGAGCCATAAAGCTTTTAGGAGAGCTGAGAAATGGAAGATGATGCGGCACTCCAGTATAG